GGGGCAACTGGAAACGTGAAACTTCTCTTCATTTGTGTCTGATGGGATTAGAGCTAAAGCCAGATAAAGGGATAAGGGATTCCCAAATAATGTCGTGCCCTCTCAGCTGAAACTCGAAAGTTTTTGGCGCCAAATTCGCATGCAAAGCAGGCGGCAGACAGGGGGAGAGGGAACTGGGACAGAGCAGAGCGAGAGAGAGCAGGAGCTACCCCTTTTTCGGGGCTGAATATTCACCGGGTTCAGGAGGCTTAGGTCGAAGGATAAGTCGCAAACTTGATGCTTTCGCCTAATGTTCTTGGGTGGTTGCTCCTGCCCCGACTCCTGCTGCTGCTGCTTCTCCTTGATGATGATGATTTTGTTTTCGCTTGTGGATTATGAAGCGCCCAGTTGCATTCGCATTAGTTGCTCTTGCCGGGCGATTTTCCTAATTCCCCTAATACCCTTTATGTGAGTGTACAAGTGTGTGTGTGTGCCACATACTCGTATCTATGTGAAAATAGAGTTAAAGGGGAATATTGAATGTGGCTAGGAGCTGGGGAAAATTCAATATTAAGTGACAGGAAATAAACGGTTTAGCAGCAGCATTAATTGGCACGTTGGCATTTGCTTGGGGTTTAATAAAATCGCAAAAGGATGCTTAAGATAGTGAGTGTTTTGCTGTGTCCTTCGACCGAGAGCTTATGGCAAATCCCAGCTGCAGCTGCTAAAATGCCTAGTCTTGGAGCCTTCGAGTCTTATAATATTCATAATCGAACGAGCCCAACGGCAGGCCTGGTCGTTGTTGTCTAATTACAAGTGTGCTGCCGGCATAATTCCACTTGCGTATTAATAGATACGCACTCGGTATATTTACTCGCACAAAGGCGCTCAAAGTTAATGCAAGTGATTTATAGTTTCAGTTCCTGCCTCGCCGACAGTGTATGCATTTCTGTTTCGATAATCACTCGGCGCACACACTGGGAGTATTTATTCGATTATAAACCAAAGCGCACAGAGAGAGCCTTAAGCCGCTCGGTGCGAGCTTCGAGCTGGCACCGGGGACGTGGCACGTTGCATGTTGCAAGTAGCACGTTGCCGGTGAGAAGTGGAAAGTGGGCTTTCGGGCTCATCTTCTGTTGTGGCTGCTTGGAGAGTTCGATTTGTTCTTCCTGCCAACATTTAAATCCTTTAAATTTGTAGCTCTCTTTGTGCGAAGGATAAAGGGGAAAGCTGCAGAAATGGAGAGGTGTTAGCCACCCAGTAAATATCTCCTTTGGTACACGCAAAAAAATGAAGATATGATTTGGTATTTAGGGTAATAAATTCTAGGTAAATCGTATTTAAATAAAAATGTATAATTAATTACTAAAGAAATTACCAAATGCGTCTAGGACTTTGTAATTAAATCAGTTTTTAATTAAAAAAATATTTTAAAAAATTATAAATACAACAATAAAGTTGCAACTAATCTAGATCAATGATTAGGGATCTTCAGTTAACTTTATTTCAGTATCTCTAAACTTCCCAGTGCACTCGATGATGGTGGCTTAACTCAATCAGCATCACCTGCAGCACCTGCCTTCAGCTCCTGGCCATGTCCTGGCCATATATATATTTGCATGTGTGTGACTGCGTATTTGTGTGTGTTAGTGTGGCTGGTTGGCAACAACCGGCTTTTATCCTGTTGTTGTTGCTGTTGCTGCTGCTACTGTTGGCCCGGCCAATCCCTTTTTGCTTATAATTCGGAAATGTTGCCTCCTGTTGCTTTTGGCATTTATTCGAATTTGTATCTCAATCTGAGGCTGTATCTGTATCTGTATAGCTGTATCCGCATCTGCATCTATGCCCCGGCGCCGGCACATATGCTGGGATTGGGATTGCTAGTGGTACTGGGACTGGGACTGGGGATGTGGGTTTTGGAACCGGCTTAGGTGGCATCCGGTGAGTGGTATCATTCAGCTCCGGACTGGCCACTGTGCATAACGCTTAACACTTAAGCTGCTGCCGCTCAGCCCACCTGCTCTTTTGGCCCACCGAATCCATTGGCCCGGGACTTAGCCGGGACTCCTCTCACAGGTGAGTCGGCAGCCCGTTTCGAGTGTGACTGCGAAAATTGCTGGCCCTGCTTTGGGTATCTCTTATCCTGCAGCAGGAGCTGTGCAATGCTTTTGTGTCGCTTGATTACCAATAGCACTCTTCACTCGCTCCACAACAAGTTACTGCCCCGGCTTGGCCGACACTTGTGCGTCCACCATGGCTTATCGGGGCGTTCTTTGGACCCGGCTCTGAGCCGGAGAACCAACCCGAACCATCTCATTATACAATCCCGGCGCAATGACATCTGCATAATAGCCGATCGAATGGGTGCCCATTTTTTGAATCCTTGAGCGCGTGCTTATGTCCACAGAGTCCTCCTGCATTCATGGCTGCTGCTGGCTTATGACACATACGAATGCAAACGCCGCTGTTGCTCCACTTTCGGCGGGGCCGGGCACAACAATGATTCAATAGCAGCACCAGCAGCAGGGTCAGGTCAAGTGGGTGGAATGCGGGTAGAGGACAGTGGGCGGCGGTCGGTTGTCTCGTTTCCCGAACGCGTTGATCCACAAACGTGTCGTTAACTAAGGCGCAGTGATTTTCAATTGCAGAGCGCGACGCCTGTGTATGTGTGTGTGCATAGGCTTATAGGTGCCAACAGTGTGGCATCTGCAGGACACTGGGGGAGGGGCAGAGCCTGCATATTGACAAGTGCAGCCGGCTGGGGATTTATTAAGGCTAACGTATGAAAATGTTGCATACTAAACTCTGCATAAATCGAAGCGCAGCACCAGAGAGACAAAATCGCAAAAGCAGGCACATAAAAATAGCCCCAAAAACTGAAATATCCCCCTTTGCCGGAAAAAAGAGATGGAAATCGTAAGGGAGGGATCCAGGGGCAGGATAAATATCGTGTTGCGTCGCTGAGCAGCTTAGGCGCAATAAACACGCACACACAGCACACACACTGCTGGGCCATGTGCACAACAAAACGCAACGAAACAAAACAGATTTACATATGGAGCTCACACACAGCTGTTCGAAATGGCAATGTTAAATGACAATAATAACAATAGCAGCAACAACAACAGCAACCAAATGATGGCAACAATAAGCAAACCAAACTGCACTGAGCCCCATCGTTGGATCCTGCATCCGTCGGATCCCCTGCCATCCATCCACGTTTTGTTGTGCAAATCCTCAAAATATGCAACAAAGCACATTACATAGATACGCACGCACACACACACACACACACACTATGGCACGCACAAAAACGGAGCGATACATTCACAAATTCACAACGAAATTCAAATCAAATCCCTCATGGGCATTGGCCATGTGGCCATGTCACTAGTATGTGTTATTAGAGACGAATTTTCGGGAATGTGTCGCCTCAAAAGGATGGCTCAAGGTATTAATAGTGGACCTGAAATATTAACAGTGATACTTATCGCTCAAGTCAATTGTTTCGCACGAAATATTTTGTGAAGGCGAGGTCACAAATTGGCCCTGACACTGGCGCCAAGTCGCCGGATCCGGATGCCACCACCTGTTGCTGACACACACGTAGACGTGCTCTCGCACACGGCCAGATTGCGTATACGCAGGGGCTGCCCGAGTGCTGAGCCGAGGGCCAGACTGAAGCCAGGACAAACAGAAGCGAAGCACGCTTCCTGGGATGCAGCCCAAGCCCCGCAAATGACTCCACAAGTGTGTGTTCACTTAACACCCAACCAGGCACTCTCGCCCACACGCCACACACACACCACCCACTTTCTAACCAGAAGCGGCGAATGTTTGTTTGCACACACCGACAGGGGCCATAGAAACAGAAACAGAAACAGACTGGGATACACACATCCGTACACAGAATAAACGTTATGAATGCTTCATATGCTTAATCCAGGGGATTTCGATGCATATACGAGTGTTGTGTGTTCGTAGCTGTGGTTCTATCTGTATCTGTAGCTGGAGCTGTAGCTGTATCTCTATTTGTGGCTGTGGCTGAATGGAGTGAAGAAAGTCCCCTTGAGTTCGAACTGATATTGTTGGTATGCAAAAGGCTTCACAGTTTCCATTTATATCCGGCAGATACCCACACGCACTAGCACTCGATGGATGCATCCGCAACGAGGTGGCACAGGTTTACTTCTGGCCATGGCTAAACTATTGATGAACCAAACAAGATTACCTTGGCCATAGCTCAAGGAACGTATCCCCACTTGTCTGTGTGTGCCTGTATATGTGCTGGTGCTGGTGTGCTGTGAGTATCTGTGGGATACGTGCTTAATGCCTTGTGAGCAAATCAAATGAACTTTTCATGGATTAAGCCGGCTCCGTTGAGGCAAAGGAAATGCCTCGGCCATTTCCATTTGCCATCCAGCTGCTGGCCTGATTAAAGTTGTGTCTTTAAAGTGTGTTCCGAGATATTTCCCCTTCCTTTTCTGCTTTTTCTCTCACCCAAACCCCTTTCACAACACACACAGTCGCGCATAGGATTATGAATAATAGTGAATTTCATTATTTATGGCACTCCTCCTACTCTTTGTAATTACAAATTCACAATAATTTTAATTTTAAATCAATGCTGAACTCCGGCAGTTCGTAATCCCAACTACTCTAAGCAATTATTAGCCACAAAAAAAAAATATAAAATTAATAATGACACACTTAAAATAATCCCAAGTGAATCACGACATTTGATTGTATCTTATCTGCGCACTCACTGTTATTCCCATGTATACATTACCGTTCCATATCTACCATAATCTACCTATAATCACTGATGGAAGCCAAGATAATGAACAAGGCATGCCATTGTATTTGGAAACTTTTCAAAACTAATGCAATCGAAGTGAGAAAATAGAGTTCTTTAAATAAATATAGCTAATTATAACCATAGAATTTAATTTCCTCAATCAATGCCTGCATTTTTAAGTATTTCCTTAAATTAATTGATAACTAAAGCTTCCATTACTCACGATTCACTTTGCTGACGTCGAACTCCCGTCGCGAGTCCAAGGCCGGATGGCTGAGCAACTTCTCCGCCTGCTGCTGGGCCTGCTGGACGCCCACGGCCATGCCCAGGGCGGCAGGTGGCAGGCAGGAGATGCTGCCACGCTCCACACGCTCCTCCCGCTCGCGCTCCCTCTCTCGCTCCCGTTCGCGGTCGCTCTTGGGCGTGGCATTCTGACTAGATGAGGCCGTCGAGGAGGATAGCGCCTGGCCCTCGGAGTTGTGCGTGGGATGGGAGGAGGGCGGTGTCCCTTCGTTGGACCTTCGACCGGCTGCCTCTCCACCGACTCCTACTCCTACTCCGCCAGCGGAACCCTGCTGCGCCTGTTGCTGCTGGTGATGGTGGAGCTGCTGCTGCTGTTGCTGCTGGTGAAGATGCTGCTGCTGTTGCATCTGCAGCTGGGTGAGTTTCTCCTGCACGCCCTGCAGCGAAGAGCGACGGTGCTGATCCTCGCCACCAGCCACGCCCACGCCCACGACGCTATGGGGCGGGGATAGAGAGTGCTCCTTCTTGACAGCCAAGTCCGCCAGGCTAGCCGAGGCGGAGGAGGCCACAGGTGACTTGGCATTGGCGGCGGCCACAACGGCGGCCGCGTTGGCAGCTCTGGTTAAGGCCAAGGCCTGACTCTACAAAAAACGAGAAGAGAAGAGAAGACACAATGAGTTACTAAGGCCAGATTTCCCATTTGTCGCTTGTTTGCCCAGCTAAATGATCGCCGTCGATCGGGTGAAATTTCCACTCCACTCCATTCGAAATAGAAATAGAAAACAACCCAAATTCGCTTTATTGATTAAGTCAACAATGGCCATGAGAATCGTCTCAGCCCTGACAGGCGTTGATTTCTATTGATTTGTGAGCTTGGGGCCCTCAACGCCGATCGGCAGTGTTTGCTTTCTATAATTTAGCAAGTAATTTGCTGCACAAATCGTGGCGAATCACGAAATTGTCTTTAATGATGCAGAGATCTGCGCCGACTCGAGATCGTTGTCGAAGCGTAACTAAATTAATGTGGCTCTCGTCTCCAGTCCATTAAAGAGCAGAAAGCTCCGTCACAAAGCTACACACACACACGCAGTCACCCTGACCAGATCCCACTCCTATTCCCAGCCCGAGTCCGAGTCCAAGACGGAGACGGAGACCAAGCCCCCACAAAGCGGCAATTGATGACGGACCCAGCGGCTGAGAGTCGGAGCCAAAAGCGAAATCAGCAATGGCACTATGTCCATGAGAAGCGCTGACCGACTTCCGAGCTGGGTAGCTCCATTGATTGTTTCACTTGCTGGCGCTTAATTATTTATCAAATGGGTTAATACAGTAGACAAGTGATTTATAGGAAAACAGGTTCTTAAAAATTAAAAGATTAAATAAAATATCCCCACAAGCTTTTAAGATTTATTTATAAGCAGAAAACCATACCTATCATACCTTCTAAGTCTTGACCAGAAAATATTCCTAACCCTTTGAACTATCTCTTTTTGTGAGCCAAGCTTGTGCTACCTTATTTTCCCACTATCCATCTCAGATCGAGACCAATAATTATAGCGTCTCGCTGTGGCTACCGTTTTTACAGTTTATGCTGGCTGAGCACGCATGGAATTCCGGCAGCTTCTTCTAAGGCGGGATTCCTGATTCCCGATTTCTGATTCCTGACCCGCCGCTTTTTTCCCGTTGCCTGTGCGTGCGGATTGGCAAAAAATTATGGCATTGGCATTCGATCGGTATTGGCTTTTTGGCGCTGATCGTGCGGATAAACTTAAATCGATCCGAGCCAGCGAGATTTTGATCCCATTTGAGTCCAGGTCCCTGGTCCAGGTCCAGGTCGATCCTCGCCCCTGGCTAGTTTGTCAAATGAGGGCATAAAAACCAGCAGCAGCAGCAGCAGCAGCGGCAGTTGCGGCCCAAGAAGATCCTTCTTTTTGAAAACATGTTCAGAAACTTAATAAGGGCTCCCAGAATGGGTATCTCTGCAGCTCGGGAGCTTGGTAGCTCGGTGGCTCTGGCAGCGGCGTCTCTGCTTTCCACAGTAGCCGCATCGAGTTAGCGATCAGCGACAAGCAGCAATCGATCTTGTGTTATAATCATCACCGGCTCCCCACCTCTTCCTCTTGGCCATCAGCGGCGATTTAGGCCCGCAAAAATTCATTTACGCTTTAATCAATTTCATTCACTATGCAACAGCAGCCGGCCCAAGCAGAGGCAAAGTAAAGGTGCACAGAAAGAAATTAAGTTAGCTCAAAGAAAAACTAGGTTTCTTGTATCAATAAACATTCTTACAATCTCAGCAAGTTCTCAAATAAAATAAAATTAAATATTGAATACTAAATATACAAGTATAGGTTTTATATTTGTAGATAATTTTATCTTCCAAAATTTCTCACTGTGCAAAGGATGATGGCTGAATGGAATGGAAACCCGCAGACAGAGCCAACTTGGCCTAAGGCCAGCAGCCGACAATTTTAGCTTACATTGATCTCGCCTTGTCTCAGCTCCCCAGTTTCTCCGCCTCTTGCTCCTGCTCCTGCCCCCCCCCCGCCAAAGTTGCTATGTGGCTTCTGTTCCTGGCCACATGTCAAGAAATTGACGAAAATTCGATCAAAATTTTAATTGATCGCCCTGCAGTGATTTGGGTTCCCGAAAAATTGATCTACCCTTGCCGCCGTCTCTTCGCGCTGGCACTTGGCGTAATTTTCGGTTGGGCAGAGATCGACGGACGACCGACTCGTGTTGTGATTATGTTAATAGAGGTGCTCCCATATCCTCCCCAAGCTTGGGCCCTCTCCTCCTCCCGATTCTTGTTTCCGCATCCCGCCCGAGGGGGAGGACGGCGCTCGCCTCTCGCTCTGTCTGTCTCTGTGCCGGAAACTGAAATGCCAGCGGGCACAAATTGCGAAATAATCAAACATTTCAAGGGCTGCCACCAAATGTCTGGCATTAAGGCTGATCGAAGAATGCCAGAAGTCGCTGATCCTTTGAATGAGTCATCATTTGGAGAGGGCAGAGCGTCATCATCGTTCGTACAGGGAATCGCATCTATTACATTTTGAAAACTTCTTATTCTTTAGTATGAGTTATAGCATGATCTATAATCTTGCGCTACAAGAAGAACGAAAAAACCCAAAGTAATCCCTTTTCGAGGCCTCGCATATTAATAGCCATCCCGGGGACATTAATCAAGCCGGCTCGTTCCTGATCTCCCAGACGATCATCCTCGCTGAATGCTACCAATCAAGGTGAACACTCCCAGCCCCCTTGCCGGCCACCAAGCTGAACATTTTAATATTAACCTGTCAAAGGCCATAATTGACAACGATTAACTTTGTCTTTTGTCTCGCGAAAATTTACATTTTTATGGTTCAATAAAATAAATCAAAGTGGGGGAAAAAACCCGAATGCGAACGGGCAGAAGCGAAAAGATGCTCGGGGAGCACAGTGGCAGCGAAAAGTAATTGCAGCACATAATAATCTCGCATTTAATAATCCTCATTAAAGCGCAAAATCACGTCGGTCCACCGATGAGGAACGAGAACGAAGAGCAAGAACATCGACTTGGACCGCGCGCTGATGGACAGTTTACACTAACAAATATCACCAGCACCTCGGCGCGGGGATCCCTCTCGGATCTGCGCAAAATTAGAGGCCCAGCATTGGACGTGTTCTTTTTTACCCTCTCCAAATTCCAGAACAAGCACCAGGAGCTTCTGTTTCAGTCCCAAAAATATGCACGGGTCCACCAAAAAAAAAAAAAAAAAAAATGAAATGAGAAGGAAAAGGGAGGATCGGAGGCTGGGAGTATCGGAGATCGGAGATCGGGAGGCGATGCGCATCAATCGATGATATGATGAGCTGACGTTTCGGGTTGACGTTTGCTTGTCGTCAATACGTCGCCTAATAACACGTCGCAACAGGTAGTCCCCGGCCATCAAGCGGACGGACAGTCGGGATGGATTCTGATTGCGACACAGATACAGATGCATCGGGATACAGATACATCGGGTGCCCAAGCCCAAGCCCAAGCCAGGAAGGAGTCTCTCTCTTTTCGGGGGCCTGATGGAATTTCATCAATTGCATGAAAAATATGAAATTAGTTTGGGCCCCGCCGTCCGAGAAACGGAGAAACCAACCAAAAAGCTGCTGTCCGGGGCTGGCTACTGGATTTTTAATGTGTTTTAATCATCGACAGCAGGCACTGCTCCTTGCGCTGGCTAAATGGTTTTTGCTCCTCTGATCCTGCGACTGATGTATGGCACATTCCACTCGGGCTATAAATCGTGGTTGCGCCTGGCACCATGGCGCTGTCCTGTCCTTGGCCAAATATCATTTGATTCTCTGCCAGGCATTAATTGTTTTTGCCCGAGTGCTGCGTGATGGGAATCGCTGATCAACGGTTTGGGATCGCAGGGATAGGGTTTTGGGCTGCAGAATCTGGTGAGAATGAGGTGAAATCGGTGGGAATTGGTAGAGCCAGCGGATAAGCTTTCCCCGTTGATCCCTCAGCTTGTCACAGACCTTGTTCTTGTCATGTTCCCTGTCAGTCTGCTTAGCCAGCACACACGCATTCCCCTCAAGTGTTGATCAGTTGAGCAGCAAACATCGATCGGAGATCTCGTTTCTGGGATCTTAATCGTTTAGAGACTTGTCACACTCTGAGAAAAGAAGTGTTTTACAATGATATAATTACTAGAAACCCTTAAGAAGAAATTTGTACTACTCAATCGATTTATTTTTTATATTTCTTTAATTTTCTTAAAGTCATAAAAAGTGTTTAAAACCCTCATAGCTTCAGTTTTCTTTCTCAGTGCTTAGCCACATTGACATTCCCCACAGCCCCAGATTATGTCCAACTGGTCTGTCTTCTTTTTTTGCTTATCGGGAGGAGTCTCGCTCCGAGACATTACCATTTCCATTGGCCGAGAATCTGGCTTTTTCTGGCCGTACGATTGGGTGTTTGCCAGCGTTTTTATGCTCTTTGCCTTGGCCGGGCCCCTGTTATTAATTATCATCATCAGCGGGAGGCGATCAGCAGTCCGAGATTCGCTTTTCGCTTCTCGCTCTTCAGTCTTCAGTCTACGCAATTCTCAGTTCGCATTTCTCATTTCGCGTTTCGTGTTCGCGAAATTCCCTAGCGAGGGGCGAGCAGGAGAATGCGATCATTCGGAATTCGGCGCGTAGAAATATCATTTTCGTGATTTCGGTCTGCTTCGCATTTGCTTTTCGTAATTTGTATGAGATTTTTGGAATTTTCGTTGGCCTTTGCCATTTATGTACGAGCATGTCTTCTTGTGTCCTTAACGAAATTGTGATTAAGTGTTTCAATATCGAAGTGACGAAAGGCACAAAGGCAGCCACTGAGGATGGCCTGGCCCAAGAGCGATGGCGAACATCGGCGTCGCGACGTGCAAAATAATTAAAAATCAGCGAACGTTCTGTCCAGTCCTCGTCCCAGTCGCAGTCTCAGTTCCAGTAGCAATCCCAGTCCCCAGTTGCAGTGGCAGTGCCAATCCCAGTAGCTACCTCCGTCTCCATCGACGCCCGCATCGCGATCGCTTTGGCGAGTGCGAAAAAACGCCATTTAAAGATGCCACAAAGCCGCAGATAAGCAGAGACAAAATGCGGGAAAGGGACGGCC